GTATAACTAAAGATAATGTTAAACAGTACCAAATTTATAATTTTCAGTTTTAATAGAAGTCTATAATTTTTATAATTTGATCATTGTAAACTTCAATGTAACTGAGGAATTGGTTTAATTTTAATCATATTTTATCTTAGTGATACATATCATCACCGAGTCATAGTTGTAAATTATGGAGAAAATGTAAGGGACATTTTATCTTCCAAGCCAAAATCTCCTATAATTAATTCTTCAGAAATTTAGCTAGCGGAGTTTTTCATCAGTGTCTTAATATAAGAAAGTTAAAGTATACACATAATACAAAAATATATGTATGTTTAACCCCATATTAAACTTAAACTAGGCAAAATTAGATTTTTAGATTTTTTTTCTGACCTCAAAGAAAGGGAAGGGACACAATTCAAACAGAACAAAGAGGCTTCATCGTATCACATCATAATAATAAGCTAAGTTTTATAAGACTGAGTTTCAGATGTAATGTTTTCATCTATAGACTTACGTGGTATTCCAATCGCTTGACTAATAAAAATCCTTCGAAGTACAGAGGTAGAGCAGTCATCTTTAATCTTTCTTGGAAGACCCTCCGGGGGGCTGGTTTCGGGGGCTTCTTGGCCATCATGCCCTCTCCGGGTGTGCGGTTTGGTTTCAACAGTATCCTGCCTCGAGCAGTGAAATCTCTCCTGCGAGCGGCAGAGGCAACTGTTCAAAGAGGAAGTTCCTAATTGCCGCGTAACCACTAACCCTACCAGCCAACAGGATGCACGCACAGTTTTTTTTTCCTCTACTTTTTGTGAACTAAGATAGAACAAGTATAGGCCAACATTTAGAAGATAATCTCTAAGTATACCACATGAACTTAGATGTCAAGTAGCAAAATAAACATAAGATTAACAACACCTGGGGATGAAAGAAACAGGTGTAAGGACTGTGGACTTTTTGGGAGACATCAAGGTCACATTTGGCTTTTCTATTCTTTTGTTTATTGTTGTCTGTATTTAGTTCTCAAGGATATGACTTAAGTTCTACTTCATT